GGGTGAAAATTTGAGCCAGACCCATGTGACGCCAAAGCTGGGGAAGCCAAGGAAGTTTTGAAAAGAACCGATTTTTGAGCTAAGTCTTAACAGCAGACATAATTGGAGAAGATAGGGAAAGGGGACTGAGAAGTCCAGGCTGAAGGAATGGCACCAGCAAGTGCAGGAGGGTTGAACTACATGGGGTGACAGGCATACTGAGCTCTGGGGGTGGCCAGAATGGAAGTGCCCAGACCCCTCAATTGCAGCGGCTTTGACAAAATAAATAAAATTTATTTTTTAGAGCAGTTTTTGGTTCACAGAAAATTGAGCAGAAAGTGTGGAGATTCCCATATTGCCTCCTCCACTGTCAACATCCCCACCAGAGTGATACTAGTATACTTGTTATAATTGGTGAATCTACATTGACACATCAGCCTTAGTCCATAGTTTACATTAGGGTTCGCTCTTGGTGGTGTACATTGTGGGTTTGGACAAATGTATAATGGTGTGGATCTATCACTATAGAATCATGTGGAGTATTTTCACTGCCCTAAAATCCTCTGTGCTTTGATTATTCATTTCTCCCTCTACCCTCTACCCCCTGACAACATGGATCCCTCTATCACCTCCATAGTCGTGCCTTTTCTATAATGTCATATAGTTTGGAATCATGCAATATGTAGACTTTCCATTGGCTTCTTTTATTAGTAATATGCATATAAGTTTCCTCCATGTGTTCCATGCTTGGTAGCTCATTTCTTTTTAGGGCTGGATAATATTTCATTATCTGGATGGACCACAGTTTAATTATCTGTTCACCCACTGAAGGATATTTGGGTTTCTTCCAAATGTTGGCAGTTATAAACAGAGCTGCATCTGTGTGCAGGTTTTTGTGGGGACACAACTTTTCAACTCATTTGGGCAAATACCAAGGAGCGCAATTGCTGGATCATAGGGTTAGAGTTTGTTTGGTTTTATAAGAAACCAAAGTGGCTGTACCACGTTGCGTTCCCACCAACAGTGAATGAGAGTTCCTGTTGCTCCACATCTTCACCAGCATTTGGTTTTGTCAGGGTTTTGGATTTCATTCATTCTAACAAGTATGTAATGGTATCTCATTTTAATGTACATTTCCCTAGTGACAATATGATATGGAGCATCTTTTCATATACTATTTGCCATCTTCTTTGGTGAAGTGTCTATTCAGATTTCTGCTCATTTTTTAATTGGGTTGTCCATTTTCTTATTGTCAAGTTTTAAGAGTTCTTTGTATATTTTGCAAATATTTTTTTCCCAGTCTGTGGCTTATCTTCTCATCCCCTTCACAGCTTTTAAAATACTGATATCCCAGGCCCTTCTCCAGAGCCACTTTCTCTAGGGGTGGAACCAGAAACCCTGAACTATAAAGATTCTTATTTAGGAAGTCCAAGGGCCAGGCATGGGAGCCTCTGGGTGGTAGAGCTGGGGAGGTATCAGCAGGAATAGAGATTAGCTGGAAAGGTAGTTCAGGCCAGGTGAGGAGGAGGTATTTGAATGCCGTGCTAAGGAAGGTGGCATTCAAGGCCCTCCTTTTTATTATAAGGTTCAATAAACATCTTAGGCTAGATCTTATAGGCAATGGAAAGGCACTGAGGATTCTGAGGGGGAAACCAAGGCATAATTCAACCTTTGTTTGAGGAAGAACATTCTGGTGATAGTGTATAGGAAGTATTGAGGATATTGGAGACATTAGACCAGTTAAGAAATCATCAAAATATTCCTGCTGACTGGTGATAGTCCTTCAACAAGGATTGGACAGTGATGGAGAAATAAGTTCCACTCAGTTCAACACAACAAGTATTTCTTTAATATGTTTTCTGGACTGAGCACAGTGCCGGGTTTTAAGGACCCTGGGCTGAAATATTGTCCCTCATCCTCAAGGAACTCACAATCTATCAAGATTCATAAAAAATAATTAAGTTGAGAAAAAGGGAACTGGTAATTAATTAGATAGTGTCCCCTGCAAATTCACATGTTGAATTTGACTGTGACTGTATTTAGATATAGGGGCTTCAGGGGATAAAGTTAAATAAAGTCATAAGGGTAGGGCCTTAATTCAATAGCTTGGTGCCTTTATAAGAAAAGGAAGAGACACCAGAGGAAAGTGTCTGGTTTACAGAAGAGAAAGGCCACATGAGGACACAGCAAGAAGGTGCCATCTGTAAGCCAGGAAGAGAGGTCTCACTAGAAATCAATTTTGCTAGCACCTTGATCTTGGACTTCCATGCTCCAGAACTGTGAGAAAATAAATGTCTGTTTTTTAGGCCACCTAGTCTGTGATATTTTGTTACAGCTGCTGGAGCAGACTAATACAAGTCTTAAATTTTTATTTGTGGGGTGACATGGACAGTATTAGCCAGGCCATTGTTTGTACATGTCTAGAGCTCAGAGGAAACAACCTGGGCTGGTGTGGGCTGCTTACACTAAAGACAAATCAAATGCAGATAAAGTGAGAAGGCGGCCCAGAACTAAGCCTTAGAAATACCCAACATTTAAGAGTGATGGCTAGGATTGGTAGGAACTGCTGCTTGGTTTTAATGTTGATGTGTTGGTGACTTATGTGACATGTGGCCCTTCTCCATCCTCTTCTTTATTCTCAGAAGTATGATGGGGAGAGATTATAGGGTATTTGAAGTGAATTCTAGGCTCACTGACAGAGCCATTTAGGTATGGAACTCATGGAGTTTGACATATTGTGAATTCATTTGTTCATTGATTATTTGCTAGCTTGTTTCAACTGTTGGATTCTTGCATTATTATTATCGAAGGTTTTATGTATTAGTGCTTTGTCTTCTTCTATTAGAATGAAAGCTCCTTGCGGTCAGGAGCTGAGCGTGAACACCTTTGCTTCTGCTCTTTATCTCTAGCACGAGCACACAGCATTTTAGATGATAATTTTTTTAAGCTTTTGCAAATTACAAAATAGTCAAAACAAGATACACTTTAAGAAATTACTATGTGCATTTTAAAGCACTAAAAGGGTATTAGTAGAAATCACAGTGTTTTAAAGACTCCAAAAATTAACAGCTCATGGCAATGGATCTCCTGATTCAAGAAAGATTTGGACACCAAACCAGATTTCAGAAAATGAGGGGTGTGAACAGTGGGAATCAGTGATGCATGGCTGTTGCCTGCAATACTATTTATGGCTCCCTGACACCTCTCTGATGGGGTTAAGTATTTACATTCAGCCCTGATTCTCCCCTCTGACTCTGCAGGCTACAGCCACCCTCTGGGAGCCCTGGGAAAGAGAGAATACCCTCTCTGCAGGGGTCCCAGGCTGGGGCAAATGGATCTCCCCTCCCCCTCTTGCCTCTGAAGAGGTCTTGCCTCTGGGAGTTTATGGCAGCCTGACCTCCAGCCTTTGGTTTGGAGAATCTGGCCGCTTCTGAACTACATAAAAAGGGCAAGTGCATTCATTATTATTATATTATTATACAATGTATAATATATAATAGCGATTATGCTGTCAGGAGCCAGAGTCTCTGACCACAGATCAGAGGCTGGGGTGACATAAATCCACCTAGTTAAGTCTTTGGAGATTCTACGTGAAGGTGAGAGGATCCAACTTCGTCTATAATGGAGAATCTCAGCGAAGAGTTTCTTCTACAAGCACCTTTGGAGTTTAAATTTGGGGGGGACTGGGAGGACCTGGACAAATAGTATTTAGTATCTGGGATGTGATGCAAAAAAGGTCATAGTTGCCTCCTCTGAGCCATAAAATGCTAATGGCTCAACCCTGCTGGTGGTGATGGGGGCAGATGAGGAGTCACCCAGAGAGGCCTGGGAAGAGGGTAGGGGCAGCCTTCAACTTCTGGGGTCAGATTCTTCACTGAAAACCTGGCCAGCTTGGGTTTCACTTTGTGCTTCCCTGCTTACATCGGTGTCTTTGTCTAGGCTTTATCCAGGCCCCCTGCCTGGTCTGAGGTCAGAGGATCAATGGCTGCCTGACTGTGGCTGGAATGGCTCCTCTAAGGGGAGGGAGCCCAGAGCACATTTCAAGGAGGCAGAAAGGGTCCTCTAGTCCCTTTATGCCGGCGGCCACGTGCTGAGTTGTGAAGGGAGCAAGCCAGCATCTGTAGGTGCTGGTTGCCTGCACCAACACTTAGTAGGACTATAATCTTTTGGAACGAAAGAAGGCACATGCTTGCACTGGTTTTCCTCTTGGAAGGCACTTATATTGACGTCCTCCCCAGAGTAGATGAAGCCACCCCAGCAGGCCCAGGCTGAAACAGCCCAGCTGGTCTCCCTCGGCAGCCCAACCCCCCAAACCTGGGACTTTTTAGGATGAAAACAGCGGTGCTCCGAACAGGCTTGTTTGGTATTTGCAAAGAGGTGATTTACTGATAAAGCCTCTGTACCCTTTTAGCTCTTCCTCTGCCCCGCCCCATCACACAGTCTCCCCCTCTGGGAACCAAACGTCCCCGGGAACCCCGCAGCAAAAAAAGGTCTTAAGAATTGGAATAACTCGCCGGAGTTTCATCTGAACACCTTTTCTGGGGCTAGGGTAACGAACATTATTCAAATGCAGTCATAAAAATGAGGCCGGCCTGGCAGGGATAGGGTGGGTGGGCGGAGTGAAGGTAGAGGTAAGGATTTCTTGCCAGCTTTGAGTTTTGTCATTTCTGAGTTTTCTTGGGGTCCGCCTCTCTGTCCGCTCAGTACAGGATGTCTTAGAACTCTTCCTGAGGAGGACTTGGCATGGGGGCAGGGGCAGTGCTCCCGAGGTTCTGGGGGTCCTCTGCGTTCCCACGTCCGAGGCAGCCCCCCAGCCTGAGGCTTTCTGTCCCGCGCTGTGTTGCGCCTGCCCGCAGGAGCAGGCCCGCGCCGGCCGTCTCGGAAAAGCCTCCAGCAGAGGGAGACACTCCGGCGGCGGCTCCGCCTGGAAAGCGCCGGGCCGAGCGGGTGGGGGTGTGGGGGTGGGGAGAGGGGGAGTGGGGAAAGGAGAGGTGGGGGGGGGGGGGCGGGGGCGGGTCCCTGAGCGCTGACGTCCCGAGCAGTGCTGGGAAGTATAGGCTGTGTTGTCACGCCGGTGTCAGTCTGATGAAGATTGGCATCAGGTAAGCTGTCATTCATTTCCATGTCAGAGCAGCTTCTGCAGGCGGCGCGGCTGCGGGCGGCTGCCTCGGAGCGCGCGTGTTTTATTCCGGTCCCCAAGCCGGAGTATTATTCATTGCGACAGGGCGAGGAGAGCGAGCGAGCGAGCGAGGGAGGCAGCGGGTGGAGAGAGGGAGGCGGCAAGGAGGAGGGAGCAGGGAGCGGGGAGGGAGCGCGCAGGGAGAAGCTGGGGAAGCGCCGGCGAACGCGGAGCGGGCGAGGCTGGGGAGGAGGCGGTCCAGCGTCCGGCCGCCCAGCGCGCAGCCCCGCGGTGGCCGCTGCCTAGCCTTGGAGGGCAGGGGCCGGGCGAGCATTGTCCGCGTGGGAGGAGGACCGCCGGGCCCGAGGCCCCGTAGCGGCGGGCGGGGAGCTGCGCGGGGACCGAGGGCAGGGAGAGCGCGCTGGCCAGAGCCCTGGGCGGCGGGCCGGTCGGGGCCAGGCGCTCCTCCGGCGAGGCCGGCTGCAGGTTCGCTTTCTCCCGGCTCCGGGCGCCCTTCGGGCCGGCGCTGCCGGCGCCACCAACCTGGGGCTCCTTTGAGCGGCTTGAAGCGGGAGCAGCCTCGGACTCGGGCCGGGCGACTGAAGTCAGAGCCACCGCCTGACTCGTCTGGCCTGGGCGAGTGGGCTTTGCAGGCGAATCCGGGGGACTTCGGAACACGAGTCTGGAAACTGGGATCCCCGGGGCCAGTTTAGGGACCGCGGCCCTGCAAGGAGCGATAATCTGTAGGGTTACGGGCTCTGGACGGATTGTTGGGAGACCTGGGTGAGGTGGTTGAGGCGTGGGGCCCACTGCGAGGTTGGGAGTTAGAGTCCTGGATCGAGCCCTCCGGGCGTAAGTTCGTAAAAGAGGGGCTGGAAAGCGGAGGGCGATGGGGCAGGGTCGGGAGTGTGCCGCGCAAAGTTTGCGTCTCTTTCGGCTTAGGCGTGCGGGCTTTCCCAGCCCCCGAACCCGAGGAAGAAACGAGGGAACGGGCTTCCCTTTCGGGGTCTTAGAGGAGCCTGCGCGGCAGGGAGACCCGGGCTCGGGGTGGGAGTGCGGCCGGGCTGGGAGTGGTGGTGCATCAGCCCTGAATTAGGGCAGGGGTTCGGGCCAGGCTGGAGTTTGGGTTGTGGGTCCAGGCTCACTTTAGAAGCGTGAACGGGCCACTGAGTAGCTTAAGGGCGGAATCCACACCCCAGCCAGCCAGAGCTGGGGGCTGGAGTTGGGGGCCTGGAGTTACATCTGAGGCTGGAGTCGGAGAAACGGGTGTGTTTTTTTTTTTCTCATTTTATTTGTTTTTTGAATTTAGGCACGGGATCACGAATTTTTATCGGGGTTGAGGCTACTGAAATTTGGGGGTGGTCGTGCGCGCTGGTCTTCACTCTCCGTGGGTAGAAAAGCATTAACGTAGGCAATGAAAGTAGTTGATCCGAGCCATGGCAGGCGATCCCCGAATTTCTGCTGCTTCTCCCGGAAAGAGGATCTGGAAGAGAGGATTCGAGGCGCTCAGGACCGGGTCTTAGGAGAAAGATTCCGGGAAGCGGACATATCGATGGGACGTTCTGGGTGAATCGACAGGGCAACCACACAGGGCTCGAGGTGGATCCTAGGACTGTGGCGGCGCCTCGGGCTCCAGGAGTCACTCCGGGTCTGCGGGCGGAACACGGCCGGGCGGGTTCAGGTTGCCCGCCCGCAGGGGCCTTGGCCCGCCCCGGGGGCCAACAGCGAGGTGCCGCATCGCAACGGGTTGTCCGGGCTGCGGCCGAGGGCAGGGAGGACTCAACTCCGGCGCCCTGATTTGAGTCGCGGGCTCTGGACCCCTAGGCGCCGCCTGCGCTTCTCGCGGCCCGGCCCGGCCCGGAAGCCCACGCGCGGGGCCTCGGAAGCGATGTGATGCCAGGGAAAGGGGGGAGTTCGGGGTCCCCTACCCTCACCCTCTCGTCCCCGGACTTCTCCAGCGTGTTAACTTCTCGGATATAAAATGCTGTCCAACTGGTGGAAGACAAAAGCTTCGTATTGTAGACAGATTTAGGTGACCCCTCCCCCAAACTGAGAAAATGATGGTGTTCAAACACAGAAAGATAAATTACGCGAAGCCTAACCCCAAGACCTCCCGCTTATTCTGCCATTCTGGCCTTCTCGAGGCCGGGGCCTTGGGGCAAGGGAGGGGTCTCCTGTTTTGGACTCTGGATCTCTCATTCGAGCTGCACCGGGACCTAGGCTCTGGCCTAGCTCGCGGGAGAGAGAAGTCCCGACTCGGGAGAGAGACTACCCCTCTGGCCAACTAGGGAAGCCGTGTGTAGGGCGGTGCACAGGAGGGAGGTTTGAAATGTCCTCCTCGCAATCTTGAGCTCAACCTCCCAGCCCTCGTACCCGTCCCCTCGTCCCCTCGTCCCCTCGTCCCCCTCTCTGGGGCTGCCAGATTGCGTTTCCGGGGCGCAGGAGACCCGCGACCCACGAGTGGCCGCGGCCGCCTGGGCGCTGTGAGCGGAGCTCCGCGCTGTTGTTCTGCGGGCTTGGAATTCTTGCACTCTCTCCCGCCGAGAGCCTGCGTGCAGGAGGGAGCCGTGACCCCACGGAGACTCCGGGTCTCCGCCTCTCCTTTGTGAGCTCCGAAGGCATGAAAGGCCGGAGAGAGAAAGAGACGCTGCTCAGAATAAGGGGCAGGGGGTTACTGGAGAGCGATGGGCCGGCCAAGGCTCACAGTAAAATGCCTCGTGCAAATTGCACTGAAGTGTACCGGGCTCGAGACTGGCTGTTTTATGATCCTTTCTGGGAGTTTACTGCTCTCTGCTTTTAAGTCTATAGATTGCTTTAAGTTAATGAAAGTGCTGCTTTCAAAAGGAGCTTTTATTGTGGGGCCATGATGAGTCCAGTCCCTCCCCTTTACTCTTCCAAAATGGGCCTGTTTAAAAAGAGAGAGACTCCTGGAGTTCCCACAGGGACAGAGCTGGGGCAGGACGCCGTGTGACAATGAGGATGAATAAAAATCAATGTCCGAGTAATTCAGAAAGATGCGTTTCCTTCTTTTCCAGTCCAGTGTCCTCTATACATTCCTATCTCGCCTTTCGGACTTTCACTGAGTCTGACTTCAGATGTTGCTTGGTCCCTCCCCCATAAACCCCTTCTCAACATTGCTTTATATAGACCTGACCCAATTCAATTAAACTCCAACTGGATTTCAGGATTTCAACTGGCTGCCAAATCAAACGGCAACTAAAATATTGGGGACTGGGGGAAAGGCTCTGTCTTGCCTTTAGTAAGTAAGATGCGCTAAAATGTCAGGGCGAAAATCTGGAAACCTTGAGAAGAAACGTGCAAAACTATTTTTTCAGCACTTTTCCCTTTTCCAATCTGTTTGGCACAAAAGGTGAGATGACAAGGTTTTTGACTAGGTCCTAACACAGAAACTGCAGTGGGGCTGGGCTGTGGCTTTGACCGCATGTCATAACCATTTAAACTGTGGTTAGTTGTTCAAAGCTTCTCCAAGCTGGGTTTCATTAACTCTACACCAGTTGCCTGGAAGTTCAGTAGCAATAAATTGTATAAACACATTTGAAGTAAGTTAGTGATGAAATAAGGAGAATTACTGTCTTGTGAGTGGGGAATCCTGAATTCATGGAGTTCTAGCTTAACTGGAAACATACCTCCTCTCCCTTGGCCTTGATGTTTATGGGTGTACCAGAGTGTGTGTTAAATTTCTTTCTGCCATGTCCATCTTCAACGTGGGGCTGTAACTCATTAAAGACCAAGGCATGCCTAGAAAGCAAAAAGGTTGAGTTTTAAAGCGGCTTCTATTAGCCTGGTTCAGAAACCAAACCAAACCCATCAACCTGACTTCCTTATTCTGGGTGAATGCAACACGCACCATGAACAGCAGCAGAGCAGGCCAAATTAGATTTTTAAATGTTAGCAGCTTAATAATACTGTGTTGTTAGCAATTGAATTTGTTTTTATTAAAGAAACAACCTATAAAATTTATAGGCTTCCAACATGTTGCAAGATTTCCATGCTATTTATTTAGCACCCCCTCCCCCATTCTATCTCCAATTTCAGACTTTTGTTCCCGATTTATTTAATGTGGAGCACATTTTCTAAATTAGTTTGAGGAAGGTGAGAAATGCTGTTCTAAGTTTTCCTTTTCCTATACTGTGTGGCACAAGGCCTGTGATGCTGAGATATATATAAACGTGTGATGCAATTGCTAGAGGTGACGGCATGGGAACCAGAGTGTCTGATCAAACAAAATGCAGATCAGAGTATGGAGAGGGAGAAAATGAATCATCGTGAGCCACCGTTAGCCTTGATTATAGCCAGCACACCACACTTTGCATAAAACACTTCACATGAGATTCATGACTTATTGAAGATTGAATTCTGTGGAGAAGCAGAATTTAGAGGGAGGAGCCGCACTGGCTGGGTTCTGGCCAGGCTGCTTGGCCAGCTTGTTGCAATGGGGATCTGCTAATTTAATTAGATCTAATACCTGGTGGGAATGGAGGAAGGAGATAATCAAGGTTGGCAGGTCAGCATGCTGAGCTAGTGTTTAGGCTGAAATTTGGGGGCCGGGCAGCTTTACCCCCTGTTACTGTCTGGCTGCAGGACTCCAGCGGGTCATTTACCTTCTGGATCTTGGTTTCTCCATCTGTAAAATGAGTGTATCACACACACTGCTCCCGAGGCTCCTGAGTGAATCCTGCAGGGATCGTACTGGGTGCTCTCAAATAACAAAGGGAATGAGAGGGAAGGCTTCTGAGCAGCAGTCACAATCCTCAGAGTGTTTTCCTTCCCTGTTTGGCTCCACAGCCTTCCCCCATAACTCTCAGGAGTTGCAAGACTTGGGTGAAAGGGTTGACCTCCTGCCTTTCCTTACATCCTAGAATTTGGAAACCCTGCTGTGATTCCAAAAACCACCTGCACTTCATCAGGAGGGACAATTAAGTTGCTGCATTGGGGGAACTGGAATGCTTGTTCCCCGTGGTG